CAGTATTTCAGAGCCCTTTGAACTTGCAATTACAGTGTAGGGAGTTGTCAATCTTATTTAAGGAGTAAAGTTACAACACTATGGATCTGGGGAAAACCTAACTGTCTGGGCCAATGTTTATAACATAAAATGGTAGATTTTAATAAGATTATTGGAGAGAGTATGTGTTAATAGTTTAAAAAATTTAAAAAGCATTCCATATACAGGATAGCAAGTGCGGAGGAGAACTGATTGCTTCTTGGTGCTGGGATAATTGTCAGCTTTCGATTTCTTCTTATTTCCATTAGGACTAGCTCGCTTTGGTATGCTTTTAGTGTATTTTAAAGTGGACACGGGCTTCTGGTCTTTCCCAGCATGCCCTTTGAGTGCCCAGAGGATCCTGGTCTAGTAGGGTGTGGCTTACTAGAAAAGCTCCAGGATCAGTTGCTCTGGAAAGTGTACCTCTTCCTGAACACTCAGAACCACAGCAGCTAGGTTCTTCTCAGTCCTGTCTGCGGTGGAGCAGGTATACTGCAAACCCAACCTCCGGATTCCTCCACCCTCATCTCTCTGCCCATGTGCTTCAAGGAATGAGGTGCTTTTTTTTTTTTTTTTGCTGTTTAATAGATTCTTAGGGAAGCTGTGAGTTTGTTACACAGGCAACCAATTTAAAATAGCCTGCTAATTTCAGAAGCAATTTGGAAGCATGACACCCAGCCCCTTCTGAGTTCTCATAAAGTTTTCCTGCCATTTTCTTCATAATACTAGAAGGATTTGGTGCACATATGGCTAATATTCTCTGAAGGCCTGAACTAATTCTCATCTTTATAAATGATGCCCCTAGCTCAGTGCAGAAATCATGTATACTCAGTAAACAAATGCTTTTGACAGCACGGATACAATTACATGGAAGATGTGTACAAACACATGTATTGTTTGCATATTCATACCTGAGCACCCATGCTTGTGTTGTTCATACCAGTATGTATCTACAGGTTTATATAAACATATTTACACATATGAATATCATAGCTATTCCTGAATCATCATTTTTATTTGTTGATTTATTCATTATAAGAGTGCCTAATAAGAAATACCACAATAAACCCATGCTGGAGATATGAGGATTGTAGTTCAAAGCCAGCCCGGATAGTAAAGTCTGTGAGACTCATCTCTACAATTAATTAACCACCAAAAAGCTGAAGTAGAGCTATGGCTCAGTGGGAGAGCACTAGCTTTGGGTAAAAATACTCAGGGACAGCACCCAGGCCCTGAGTTCAAGCCCCAGGACCAGCACACACACACACACACACACACACACACACACACACACACACACACACACACACAGATATCACGTTAAACCTTAGCCACCAGAGTGATGGTATGAAGTTGGTGGCTGGAAGCTGACTAGATCATAGGGGTCGGAACTTGTGGGAATAGCATTTGTGACCTCATAAAGAGAGGCCCTGGGGAACCCTCTTGCCTTTTCAATGAGGGGATACAGCAGGCAGTCCTCCATGTACTAGGCATGACGCAGACCGTCAGCAGACAGGACGTCTGCCAGCACCTTGTGCTTGGAGGTCTCAGGCTCAGAATGGTGAGAAAATAAATTTCTTTTGTGTGTGAGTCACCCAGTCTAAGGCATTTTGTTTCAGCAGCTCAAGCAGACAAAGACAGCAAGGAATTAGTCACAGTTACAAAGGCGGTCTAAAATTCTCACTGTGGGAACTGCAAGAAATTAAGAAATTCCAGTTTAGGGAACTATAAGATGCCATTCTTCAACCCTGGCTTCATGCTAGGCTCAGCCAAGTATTAAAAATACACAGTGCTCTGATCACTTTGGCCTGGGGAAGAACACTGGATGGCTTGCTGGCTAGAGCTTCCTCATTGATTCTAATGTTGTGTCCGGTTTACAGTCTGCTGCCGCGAACCAAGTTAATGATTTTTTTCCTTGAGAAAAGTGGGAGTCCCAATATGGCAATGAAACACATGTGTGCACGTGCACGCGCGCACGAACACACACACACACACATACATACACACACATACATACACACAAACATATTCTGTAGGTCTTGGCAACCTGCATTCCGGTTTTAGAACTACCGCTGTTACTTCTCCAGGCTACTGGGAGGGAAATGGCACTGGGCATTGCTGTTCTGGTCCAGTACTTTGGAGTTTGCAAAAGTGCAGAATCTGATCCAGGGTGTCTGCGTTTGGGCTGTGCTTGTGGGATTTAGCTTTTAACAAGCTCCCGGGTAAATGCCACGATTGATACACAGACTTCACTTAGGGTGACAAAATCCTGTAAATTAGGAAACACTGGATAAACTATGATGGTTAGGAGTGATGCCGTGTGTGTGAGGGCGGCCAGGTTTCCACGTGGGTGGTGGCACTGCAGCATGTGTGTGCTGCAGGGAGTTTCCACGTTAATGTTCCCTTTCCAGGTTGGGACAGGCCAGGGACAATCCCAGCGGAATGGCTGATCTGAGCTGCATGAGAGGAAAGGGAGGACCAGGTTGGGATTGATGGGGAAGGGAGGAAAAGGGAAAGAAGTGAAATTGAGCATGGTGAGGGCCTAGGGTTGCTATGTGAGATCTACAAAGGCAGTCTCCACTTTGGCTCTTCTGAAGAGATGAAAACTAGCTCATAGGAGGTGATGGTGGTTTGGGTTTTTGTTTTGTTTTGGTTAATGCATTATCAACTTCACATCTGAGGTTGGATAACCTCAGCTGCAATCTCTCAGCTACACATTGGAAAGCTTGAAAAGAAGTGGCTGTGGAGAACCATTACCTGGCTAAAACTAAATTGCACTAAAGTCCTTGCCCGGAAGAGAAGACCTCCTCTCTCAGTTCCACAGGGACACTGAAATCGATGAAAGACAAAAGCAGAAACCAAAGGGACAAGGGTCCCAAACATCTAAGCCAGATGGAAGGTCAGAGCTTTAGGAATCTCGAAAGCAACCTTACACTACTCCCAATCAGGGAATGAAGTCCCTGGAATAGATTCCATGGTGGACCTAAAATACATCTTCAGTCAAGTTCCTGGTACTTGAAAACGTGCCCTAATTTGAAAACAAGGGTCTTTGCAGACATAATGAAGGATTTTGAAGTGAAATCATTCTGGGTTAGCTGAGATACATCCAGGTGAATCCTAGGACTGTGTGTGCTTTTATAAAGACATCAAGTATCCTTACAAGAGACAGAAGAGGAAAAGGTCATGTCACATCCACACAGTGGCAGAGACACAAGTGATACAGCCTCAAGACAGAGTTCCTGGAGCGGGAACTGGCTAGAAGGAGCTACCAGTAGCCGGCACAGCCGGAAGCATCCTTCCCTAGAGCTTTGGGAGAGAACACGGCGCTGCTAATGTTCTTGGTTTGCATTGCCAGCCTCCAGAATGCAGAGAAGTTTCTGTTGTGGTAAACTATGCACGTGGTAGGTAGCTTGTACCAACAGCCCCAGGACGTGAACACACATGCCTTGCTGCTGATCGCAGTGCCACAAACCTCTCATTCATGTGCACTACAACAAACCTCTGATAATAACTTTCTTTTCTTTTTTTTGGGGGGGGGTCTGGTCGTGGGGCCTGAACTCTGGGCTTGGGCACTGTCCCTCAGCTCTTCAGCTCAAGGCTAGCGCTCTACCACTTGAGCCACAGCGCCACTTCTGGCTTTTTTTCTTTTTGCTTATGTGGTGCTGAGGAATCAAACCCAGGGCCTCATGCATGCAAGGCAAGCGCTCTACCACTGAGCCACCTTCCTAGCCCCCTGATCATAACTGTAGACCCGAGAATGCATCCACGGATAAGCAGCTCACTCTCATAGCAGCCTGGCCTCCCCTCAGAGCCCTGTCTCCATTCTCTGCAGAGGTGGGATCCTGGAAGGAACACTGGCTTGAGCTTGAACTTGACCTCCCTCATCACCTTCTAGCCCATCCCAGATAAGCCAATTGAACAAGGAAGGCGATGGTCAGAGAAGCCGGGGATGCTGGTATCCAGACCAGCTGTAATGGCCACAGAGCAAAGGCCTCTGAGAGATGCTCTCAGTCTTGGATTCTGGTTCAGTGAGGAATCTGTATAGGGTCTGTGCCCTGGGGAGCTCCTGCTACCTTTTTCACAGAAAGTAGAAGGAAGGGCAGAAGCTCTGGTTTCCTCACCCTGTAGGCCGCCCCCTAGATAGAGTTGCCCAGCCTTGACCCTGATGGCATCTGTGGGATGGTGTGATGGCATGCCTTCGGTGGGCGATTCAGCTTTTCCTTCTCCAGCCCAGATAACCTCTCAGATACCCACAGGATTGGGCAGTATCCCCGGATCGCACAGCTGTGAGTTGATGTGGCGAGGGCGGGAAGATGCCTGTCTGACTCTGACACTCACGGCTCTCCTGTTCTGCACACTCTGCTTTCCCTTGTGCTCCAGAGTAACGATTGTATCTAACCATGTGACAAAATAACAAACCAAGCACATAACTAGATAAGCAACATTGAGAAACAGCAGCCCAGATTTTCTTGAACCAAGATCCTTTTTTTTCTTGTTGCATTGTAAATATTCGTTTGAGGCTGGCTATTTTTATTTTTATTTTTGCTGTATTACAGGCTGAATCAGATAAGCCTTTGTTACCCCAACCCAATCACCTCACTCATCCTGGGTGTCCTAAGAGAGAAAGCTGGACTTGAGTTTTCTCCTGTGGGAACACACCGAGGAGCTGCTGGATTTATCTTACACCATCATACATCTGGGTGTGCCATGACCTTTGGTATTTCTGGGTGCCCTTTGTTGTGCTAGTGCTGAGGACTTTCATCCCCGCTCATGCTGAACACTCATCCTAGGTCAGAACAACTGCCCTGTCCGTTAAAAAACGCCATTACTAAGACTGAAGTCCACATCTCAAACCCAGCCTTCGAGGGCATTCCTTTCTACTCTGGCACAGTGACACCTTTATGAGTACATCCTCCAGGCCCTAGCTCCTGACCCCACTGGATTCTGGGAGTTGGGGATCACCATGAGGCAGCCATACTTACGGACTGTTCATAGTTCTTGGCATCCGGGAAATAAGAGGGATCTTCAACTCAGCCTGTGGAAACAAAAGCAAAGTCTTCAGTGAACCTTCCGCATCATGTTTTAATTCTGTTGCACATACTCCTAGTACGTCTTGTTAAAATTGGATGCAGGTGCTGGCTTAGGGAGAAGCAGTCCAGGTCAGGCCAATAATTGGTTTATTTCTGGAACGGGGTAGAGGAGGGGATTTTTTTTCCCCTGACATGCTGGCCTCCTTCTGTCAGCATTCATTCCATCTGCCCTGGGGAGCTGAGCAAACATGCACCGCGCTTGCTTTTCCCTGGTGTACAATTGTGTGTTTCCCTTGGGTGTGGGGCACATTAGCCCAGGCTTCCTTGGCTCTGCTCCGGAAGAGTTCACAGGCTTGCCAATGCATGGAGGAGGAGGGATGCTTCTCATTTCCAAGCATGACTCTCCCATGAAATACTTACTGGAAGTTTCATTTCTATACCGTTTGCTCAGACCACAGCACTTGGAGTTCTGTATTCACCCACAAAGGAGACATCATTAGTTCCATTTACCATATAAATTAACAGCAGAGACCCTGGGAGTATCCAATAAATGTGTTACATCAATGATCACATTTAATCTACTCAAATACCCTGGGAGGAATAGATGATTTTTTCCCATTGTATCAAGAAGGAGTCTAGCAAGAAACAGATGGCGTTTATGAATTGAGTCACTTGAGAACACTGTAATAAGGCATGGGCCGCATGGAGGGAATCCACAAAGGTCAGTGAGGTACATGGGGGTAGCAGGAAAAGAATGCTGTTGTATTCAGGAGGGCTCAGAGGACTGAGTGCTTGCTCATTTATTAGCCTGACCCAGCCTGAGTCTCTTTCCCCACTTTCCATCCTGGCACCCACAGACAGGGCTGGCTGGGTAGCAGAGGAGCTGTGAGGGAGCTGCGGGGAAGGGCTGGGGTGAACAGAGTGGTCATCTCCACCTCATGATCCTCCCCAGCCTGTTGTCCCCACTGGCCAAACTCAACAGGAAGCCTGGAGTGAGGAGCTGTTGATGTGGTTTATGTCTATCAGATTCCTGGGGCTCCTGAATGAGTGTAACAGGGTGGAGAGTGGGTTTCACAGTTAGAGAATGAGGCCCAGGGTGGTTAAATTAGATACCCAAGATCACCTATTTGCAAGAAGCGCTGGATGCAGACATTCCATTTCCTAACCTGAGAGTGTATCCAATCCCACCGAACCTTATGGCAATTCTTGACGCTGTCAAAACCATATTCTAGCTACCCAGCCACTGTTTGTGGAAAGTTGTGTGTCCAATGAGACCTAGTCCCTTCCCTGAAGGTGCTTCTAAAACTAAGGACAGAATGCTTCCTGCCTCCCTATATGACTGAAGTTACCAAAGGGTTTGTAAGCACAGATACACATAAGACAAAATGTAACAGATCTTAAGTCTTCCCCTGGATGGCCAGGGAAATCTGTGCAAATGGAGAGAGTGTTGGGGTGGGTCTGGCTGAAGCACTTTGGATTTTCTCAGCTCAGAGGCAGGGAAGGTGGCCCAGGCCTATAGAGCATCATGTGCAGAGGTATGAAAGCATAAAGATGCATTCAGTGACACAAGAGTTTTATATATTTTGGCTTGGATGCTGGCAGTCCATGGAAATGAATTTAGGAGGGCCCAATGAATGATGGATTATGCATGCCCAGGGTAGGTTTTGGACTTGTTCTATGTCATCTTGGCATATTTTCTAAAGAACTTGGATGGAGTTCTAGGTCTACTGACTCCAAAGCATATTCCCTCCTCTTACGATACTAGGTCACTCACTGGTAATAGGGAAAGGGAAAGAAGCAGCTAGACTTTCATTCACTGGTGGCCCTCTTTAGATGGTGCCAAGTGAGGGCCTAGATCAGGGCCTTCTTTTGGAAGATGTTTCTGCTGTGGTGGATAAGAGGAGTAGAACTCACACCAGTGTGATACAGACAATGCGCATGAAGTACTATGAGAGTCTTAGATTGGGAAATGTTGAAGAAACTCTGTCCAATCCAGTGCTGCTGTTATGTAGCTGTGGAAGCCTGAAAGAGTGCTGTCAGTATCCTGGTAATATTAATGTGAAATATGCAGGTGCATCTGAAAATGCCTAAGAAACTAAAATATGATGAAATATTACTCGCACAATCAAGTTGCCAAGAGACCTTAACACCAGTCCTGTTATATTTGAGCATATAGTATTATGAACATTGGTTTTTGAATATTAACATGTAGAAGGAATGAATTACTTGGTCATGGCTCTGTAGGCTAACGTGCCCACCGCCCAGAGCATCTGCTGCTGGACTGCTCTTCCTTGTTCAGTTCTGGCTTCCCTTGGAAAGCACCAAGTGATGCTATATTGATAAAACGAGCTGATATTTATGGAGGAGTTTTGGCTGGCTCTTATGTCCAGAATGAGGGAAGCAGAGACGGAGGACAGTCCTTCCCCAGGATTACTGTTTCCCATCCCCATCAGTAAGGCCGGAAGTAGGCCAGTCCCGACTCTGCCATCCACTGCGTAGCTTTGAAGAAAGCACTGGAGCTCCCAGGGCTTGGTTTCTTCACCTGACAAATGAGCAAACTGGGCCTACCAAGTCTTTTTGAGATCAAAGATTCCATAGTGGAGTTCCTTTAAAATAGTACAGTTGATCCAAGTTGTGGTCCAAAAAAAATCACTTTAAAAAGTTAGAAATATATCTATACATTTCTTGCATGTTCTTGCCCTTTTCAATGGAGCTCTTGGCAGGGAGAGTGAACTGGAGCGCATTCTGCTGAAGAAGGCGTGCCCAGGACGGCCAGGAGGGGCTGGAGTGGGCTGGAGAGGCATCTGGGACTACGGCTTACCCAGAAGCCTCACCGTGTTATTGGATGGGTCACATCTCTATATTAAAAAAAATGGATAAAAGTTTTCAAAGATAACCGGTTGCCAGGTTTTGAGAGAGAGGAGCAATATGTTGTGTTAAGGTTTATGTTTTGCTTTGTTTTAGTGGTCGTGGGGCTTGAATTCAGGGCTTGGGCTCTGTCCCTGAGGACAGAGTGCTCTACCACTTGGAGCCACAGCACCACTTCTGGTTTTCAGGTGGTTCATTGGAGGTAAGAGTCTTACAGACTTTCTTACCTGGGCTGGCTTTGAACCATGATCCTATGATCTCAGCATCTTGCGTAACTAGGATGACTGGACTGAGCCACTAGTGCCTGGCCTTGTGTAAAGGTTTAAAGCATATTTTAAAGGGAGCACCAAATTGTTCTGACATTGTAAAATGTGCAGTCTGGGCTCTTAATGACCCACTCCAGAGTATAAACCCAAGCAGGATTATCAGCAGGACAGAACGAAGGATGCACACAGATCTCCCTTCCATCAGACCATTCTACACCTTTCTAGAACACAGTATGCTCATCTGATTTTAGTCCTCTTGTAAACGATGTGGTGAGAAGGCAAGTCAGAAGGAGTTTTATGTCCACAGGATTTATGAAGATCTGATAGCAAAGACAAGGCCCTTTCTTTGGAGACCAGGGCTGTTCACTGCCATGCCCCTCCTCCCTCCCCCCCCCCCCCCCCCCCCCCGCCTGTGTTGGCATCTAAATTCTACATAATCAACTTGGCCTTCACACAGGTTAAGTAACTGCCCTGCATGGCACATGTAATTACTTGGTATATTAACTTCACAGGCCTTAGCACTTCAGCCATCCTTTGAGACAATCATTTGCTTCTTCTAAACCTGTGTGTACTTATCTGAGGTGTGGGGTAACAGAATGGTCGTCTTTTTGTGATCTTGTGAGGTTTACATGAGGAAATAAGATGTCTTAAGGCAGGAAGAAATGAAATGATGATGGTTTTGAAATTGAACTTGAATTCAAATGCTTTACGTCACTTTTAGGGTTTGAGTCTCCCAAAATGAGAGGCCCTGTGTTCATAGCCACACAGCTACCCTGTGTGCCTTTCAGAATTATCTGGGAGTTTGAAAAAGTTTGGTGCTATGTCACATCAGTGTAGCAGTTCTGGGGAGGAGCCAGGTGTGACTCTTGTTTAAATTCCGCAGATATTAGAATGGGGCGGGAGACAGCAGTGAGAATGGCCCAGTGACAGCTGCTTCCCACCTCCACTGCCCAACGCCGCTCACGGATAGCGTCTCCCACAACTCACAAATGCTCTCTTATCTCTAGGGAAAGAATCGAATCCCCATGCTTCATTTATCTTCATTCTGTTTCATTCTGAAACAGAAACTAAAGAAACGCTATATTTTTTCATGAAAAAATATTTTACTTTCAGAATTATTTCTGAGTTAATTTTGAATGGAATCCTCTTAAAAATCCAAATCCTTATGCCAGGACTCCCACATAGCCACACAGTGTGGATGATGGGTATGCATCACCATGTGGTTTGTTTCTTGAGAGAACTTTCATCCGGGCTAGCCCATCACCATCCTCCTGTCTCTGCTTCCCTCTTTTTTTTTTTTTTTTTATAAATTGTGACATAATATTTGTAAGTCTTTGTGGAGTGTAGTATTATAATCTTATCCATACATCCACACACACATATAGTGTAATAATTAGATCAGGGTGCTATGTGCCTCGGTCTCCTCAATCATTGATCATTTCTGATTTGGGAAATCATACGGTTTTGTTGGGAAAGGTTTCTAATCAGGCCAAAGCAGTGATTTCTAGGATTTTTATCTATAGGCAAGGAGGACTAAAATCTAGTAAAATCCAGGCTCACGACACTTTGAAGGTACAGTTCCTTCATTCATCCTGCAGTTGCTCATGGAGGCTCTACTGTGAGCTGGGTGCAGACAGGGCAGCAGGAATCAGCAGCTGTGTTCTAGGAAGACCTGACTCCTCACAGCGCTTGGCTGTGTTCTCCACAGCTCTACACACGATCACAATGGAAGGATAAATATTTGCGTGTCAATAATAGAGGAGCACAAGGTATCACTGGGACACAAGGGAAGATTGGTCTCAAGCTGGTTTGTATGGTTTCCTGTGGAGTTGGTTAAAGTTTCCTGGCAAGCAACTCTAGGATTCTTGAGT